TCGTCCTTTACCACTTTGTATTTCCTTTATAGTGATTAATTACTTCAATTTTTGAACCATAATTATTCACCTCAAACCTGATGGGGGACAAAATACAGGGAATATTGATCTAACCACACCTTAAAACACACCACAAAGACAAAAAAAACCAAAAAGTGTCAAAACAACCAATCAAACACATCTAGAAATACAAATATACAACACTTAATATATTATAATCGTATATATATATATCTATATATATATGTCATATATTATACACATATACACATAGTATACATTATATATATAAAACGATATTTATTTATAGATATAATGTGCATTATATATTAAATAATCATAAATTCACTATATATATAAATAATTTCAAAATATGTGAAGACCTGGCAGGTCGGACCCCGCTCTGTCCTACTGTGCTTTCTGTTTTCTGTTCTGATCTGATTTACACTCTTGTTTCTGTTGCTCAGAACCTAGCTGTTTATCCTCCTGCCCTCGTGCATTTGTGGTGTGCGTGGTGTGTGTGTTGTGTGTGTTGTGTGTGTGTGTGTGTTAATTGTGTATGTGTAATGCTGTGTGCGGTGGCTGTGTTGTGTGGTGTGATGTTTGATGTGTTGGTGTTGGACTATTTGCCTGTTACTTCCTGTCTGTTACACAATCACAGATCTCTCTCACTCAGTCAAACTCCTGCCTCAGTGTCGTTAAATCACATGCTCTGACTGGAGAACCAATCAGATCCCTCACCTACCATCGACCGTGGGTTGTGTTCAACAGAAAAACCTGCCGGAGTTCAACCTGTATCTTCCTGGTCCTGATCCTGTCCTGGTTCCAGAGACTGACTCTGACTATCAAACATATATAAATCTATTGTTCTATGTGAACTCACTGTGACTCAAAAAAAGCCCCGTGTCACTTCCTCTGTTGTCCTTTCTGTTGATGTCATTTCCTGTGGACGGCTTACATGTCTTCTGGGAGTGAAACAATTGTTTTTATGTAATAAATGATTTTGTTCTTCTCATTGTCATTTGTTTATTCTGACACTTGGGTGGGGGGGGTAATGTTCGTACGCGCGTGGCTTGGTTCCAGGGGCCAGGCCTCGGGTCCAGTCAGGGTCCATTCATTGATACCAGACTGACGCTCAACACTGAGAGGAGAAACGTTAGCTGGGTTGTCGCTATCTGCTGTCGTCCTCTTTCTTTCTCCTTTCTGCAGAAACCACAGCCCGGTCTCCCTGACCTTCAGGAAGCGTGTATGTAGAAGACCAGGCTCCAGACCAGGACTCAGCGAGGCCGGGACTCAGGACCAGGAACTCAGGACCAGACTGAGCTCATCAGCGCTGATTTATTGAGTTTCTCCTCAGCGACAAATCATAGTTTATTCTACACACACGAACAAACAGTACAGATTCCTCCAGCTGTTGTAGAAATCATGTTCGTCAGAAAGTTCGTTACCGTCAGCTCCTCCAAAGCTTTAAACCCCCCCACCCCTATCTAAGCCTCATCTCAGGTGTGCAGATCCACTGTGTGATCCTCAGTCTTTGAAAACAACGTCCTTCATCTAGCCAGGCTGTTCTCTGCGATGACATGAGCAGTGACAATGATGCTTTCATCGTGCCCGTTATCTGCGAGCTGTCAGCTCTCTTTCATCTGGTCACTCAGCTGTCTTCTCTCTTTTCTTATCTTCTACATTTTTTTCTTCTTTCCTCTTTTTTGTACTTCCACTTTCTTCTTCTTCTTCTTCTCTCCATCCCTGCAGACCTGAACTTTATTTTTGTAATATTCCTGTCCCAACTGACGGACACCATGACACACACAAACAGGAAGGCTGTACTGTACACGTTCAGAAATGAAGAGGCAGCATAACTCCGTCTGTTCAGATGATCTAAAGACGGAAGGCGCTTATCCTGAGGAACATTGAACGTCGTCAACAGTTTAACAACATTCATCTTCTTCTCCACCGTCCACCTTCATCAGTGACTTAACTAACCTGTTGACCTCTGACCCTCTGGACTCCCCCAACCCCCCCCCCCAATCCTCCCAATTAACCCTCAGCCTCCAAAGATAAAAACAGAAAGCCTGCTCTCCGGGGGTATTAGCACACAAGAGTCTGCAGTCCATTACAGCAGTCTCTAAAGTGTGTATGTGTGTGTTGTGTTTGTTGTCCCGGGGGGGGGTTCCAGCAAGCTAATGGAGTTCTGTTTGTTAAGCACCCCGCCATCTTCTCAACCCCTCCAGCGACCCATTAGTTATCGCAGCGAGTAATACACATAGAATAAAACCACAAAGATAGATTCAAAGCAGTTCAAA